TCTCCCTCTCCCTATCCCTCCTCGGGGACTCCCCCTCCGAGTCGGTCGAGGACCCGCTGGAACTGTCCGTGGATCCCGTGTCGGTCGACGACTGGCGACTCGCCTCGTGGACGACGCGCGGCTCCGGTTCTGTCACGAGTCCATTCCATTCGTCGTTAGGAGACTTTTTTTCTTTTTATGGTTTCATTCTCTGTGATGGTTGAGGACAGAGGGAATGAAATGTTCAATTTGCGGATGAGTTCATTTTGGTCATCCTCGAAATCATTTTTTGCATTTCGTTTCTAATTCAGCTCGAGGACATCGTCTGTCGAATGCTTTCTCCATCCTCCTTCCCCCTCTCTCCAAAAAATGTATGTAAGACGGCATCGAGTCTCAGCAACTGAAAAAGATGGATGCCTATCCACGGGAGGGACTCATCTTGGAGTTGAACATATCCCCTGCCTACGAAATAACTCAGGGACTACTTCGTAATGCACTCATGTTGTGTAGGATAAATTCTACATGATATTGCTTTACTGTTCATTCATCTCCTCATGAGAATCATTTTAATGCTGAGCGCTTTAAGGACTACTGTACGTTTCTTATGCGAATCAAGCGAAACTTCGGCTTGTAATCCAACGTCATTCCTTTTCTTAAATGGGCTTTTAATGGAAGTGCAGCTGATTGCATCGACTGTGCTGCGCTTCCAGTAAGTAAAGCGGTGATGCGGCCCAGCAATTTAGTGACTTCATTTCTTTAATCTGTTAAACAATAAAATGAAATCCTTTCTCATACTTTATTTCTGCAGGTTTATGCGTCTGTCTGTCTGTCCTTCATGCACGGCCGCGCCTCTGATCCCAGTCCGAACAAGCTTTTGCACGGCTTCTTCATTCGGTCCGGGGATGGTCACAGGGTAGTTAAATATAAATGTAAAACTTCGATCCGAAACTGACATTCAGAGCATTCGGCATTAGAGTCTGCTACGGTAAGGCCTTTGAAACGTTTCCTGCGTTTAACGGACCGCCGCGCGCGGCAAGCATACCTTCGGTGGGTGGAGAGCCGAGGAGATCCCGGATGGGCGCGAGGGTCCTCTCCTGGACGGCTCTGGGCGACACGACCCGCTGCAGCCAGGGCGGGGTGACTCGGGCTCGGGGGCACGGAGGCGCGACGGGTGGAGTCGCCGGCGGGGAGATGCAGACGCAGACGCGGTAGCTCATCACCTCGTCGTAGGTCCGGAGCATCTGCTCCTGCTTAACCGTATTCCATTATGCGATGTTTTTTATAATGCGTCCTATGGATGAAAAATCGGGACCGGGCAATGGTATTCCATTAAGCGGAGTATTCTATTAAGCGGTATTCCATTATGCGGAGTCGACTGTACCTCCAAAGTTGGATTTTTTCTGAACTCTGCATCCCAATAGCTGCATGTGTAGCAAGTTTCAGATTTCTAACTTCTCTAGGACATAGTGAGAGTAAGTGTCGATCAGTCACGATCGTCTATATATATTAGATGTGAAGACGGAAATAGTGCGCTAAGTACGATTTGTGCACTGTTTAGATGCTATGCTTACCAAGATCGCCTTTACACCATCCGCAAAATGAGCCTATTTATATGTAACATAAAACGGATATTTAGCTTAGAGCAAATGATGGCATATAGAAATTGAAATTTAAAGGACTTTCAAGGGAAGGGAAACGTTTTTGGTGCTTATCTGAGCAAATAATAAGATCAAAAATATTTTCCGTTTTGTTATCATGAGATCTCCTAATATTCCCAGACTTTCCTGCACTGGTTGCCTTTCCCCCCCTTCTACATCGCCCCTTTTTTTAACCTCTCTCTCTTCTTTGTTTCTCATTTTTCTCGTTTCTCTTCAATTCGCTAATTCTGACCATCTTTATGAAAGTTGATCTTTGGATTTGGCTCGGTCAAATAAATAGAGAAATAATAATGCACGGGAAAAATAATATAGAAAAAAGAAAGCTATGTCACATAAGCCCAAATAAATTATTGTCGTCCGTGACATATCAATGACATTCAGGCCTTCAAGGACCTTTGAAATTGGTCTAGGCTGGGCATCACATTCAGCCTGACCTGATCTCACACGGGTTCATGGGATCTTCTCTATTCGGGAAGGAAAATTACGAGGAAATTGAATTTTGTTACGGGAAGTGGTTGAAGAAAGGTAATAGGCGCTAGCAAAGCCTATTGATCTTACGATCAACGGAAGAACATGGAATGAACGCTTGGGAGAGGACAGCAGAAAAAGACTTTGCTCTTGTGATCAAAATATATTAGAGAGAAATTATTCGAGAATCCAGACCCTCGGCCTGATTCAACCGCAAACCGATGAGGACGTCGCCCAAATCAGCACGAACTACTTCGATGATCCATGATCGAAGGCTCCTTCACTCAGTATGTTTGTGCCTCTGTCTGGCATCCTAGTATGGCATTTCCTACTTTTCTGGAGAAAGACAAATAGCCCTCCAGATGAGATTAACAGACGATACGAATCTCTCGATTCTTTTATTCCCTATTGCACGTGACAGACGAAGAAGACCAGCGACAGACCCTACGGAGCCCCATCACATCCCCTAATGATTCTTCTTTGACTCGATGAGAACCCCCATGGCCGTCCTCACCCGAGTCTTGAGCAGGCTCCTCACGTTCGCCCGATGCTGCACCTGCCGGTGCATCGCGTTCCACTCCCTCTCGATCCTCACGAACGCTCCCCCCGGCTCGCCCTCCTCCCCGTCTCCCCTCGCCCCTCGCCCCCTCTGATGGCGCACGAGCAGCTCCATCAGGTGGGTCTCGAAGTCCCGCTGGTTGTCCTGGTTGTGGCGGGTAGAGTGCAGGGTGCTCCAGCGCTTCATCCACAGGCGACCCAAAAGCCTACACCAGACCCCGTTCCACGAACCATCATTACCATCCTCATCTTTACGTCACGAATCGTACACGAACTAAAGGGAGCTCTAGGGTTTAATTCATTCGAGAAGGAGCTGGAATGGTATCGACAAGTAGTTCTGTTGTGAGCTAAAGATTGCAGCTGATCCATGGCGGTAAGGAGTCCAGTTACGTTTCCTCATGCCTCTCTAGAACTCTGTCATGGACGCCGCCAAGAAACCATCTTAAATATTTAGACGCTTCCAGCAGCGTTTCCAATTTTTCAACAAAAAAAAAGTTTGTAATCTTTGAAATGAAATCCTCGATCCCACCTGTCGTATTGAGTGTCGGGAATAGAAGGCCTCTTCTTGACCGTGACGGACGTGAGACACTCCGGAGGCGAGTGATCCTCGTCCCCTTCCCTCTCCTTCTCCCTCTCCCTATCCCTCCTCGGGGACTCCCCCTCCGAGTCGGTCGAGGACCCGCTGGAACTGTCCGTGGATCCCGTGTCGGTCGACGACTGGCGACTCGCCTCGTGGACGACGCGCGGCTCCGGCTCTGTCACGAGTCCATTCCATTCGTCGTTAGGAGACTTTTTTTCTTTTTATGGTTTCATTCTCTGTGATGGTTGAGGACAGAGGGAAAGAAATGTTCCATTTGCGGATGAGTTCATTTTGGTCATCCTCGAACTCATATTTTGCATTTCGTTTCTAATTCATCCCGAGGACATCGTCTGTCGAATGCTTTCTCCATTCCCCCCCCCCTCCAAAAAAAGTATGTAAGACGGCATAGAGTCTCAGCAACTGAAAAAGATGGATCCCTATCCACGGGAGAGACTCATCTTGGAGTTGGACATATCCCCTGCCTACGAAATAACTCAGGGACAACTTCGTAATGCACTCATGTTGTGTAGGATAAATTCTACATGATATTGCTTTACTGCTCATTCATCTCCTCATGAGAAGCATTTTAATGCTGAGCGCTTCAAGAAATACTGTACGTTTCTTCTGCAAATCGAGTGAAACTTCGGCTTGTAATCCAACGTCATTCCTTTTCTTAAATGGGCTTTTAATGGAAGTGCAGCTGATTGCATCAACTGTGCTGCGCTTCCAGTAAGTAAAGCGGTGATGCGGCCCAGCAATTTAGTGACTTCATTTCTTTAATCTGTTGAACAATAAAATGAAATCCTTTCTCATACTTTATTTCTGCAGGTTTATGTGTCTGTCTGTCTGTCCTTCATGCACGGCCGCGCCTCTGATCCCAGTCCGACCAAGCTTTTCCACGGCTTCTTCATTCGTTCCGGGGATGGTCACAGGCTAGTTAAATATAAATGTAAAACTTCGATCCGAAACTGACATTCAGAGCATTCGGCATTAGAGTCTGCTACGGTAAGGCCTTTGCAACTTTTCCTGCGTTTAACGGACCGCCGCGCGCGGCAAGCATACCTTCGGTGGGTGGAGAGCCGAGGAGATCCCGGATGGGCGCGAGGGTCCTCTCCTGGACGGCTCGGGGCGACACGACCCGCTGGAGCCAGGGCGGGGTGACTCGGGCTCGGGGGCACGGAGGCGCGACGGGTGGAGTCGCCGGCGGGGAGATGCAGACGCAGACGCGGTAGCTCATCACCTCGTCGTAGGTCCGGAGCATCTGCTCCTGCTTCGACTTGTCGCCGTAGACGAGGCGGACCGAGTGGTCGGTTCGGTGGCATCCGCGGTGTTGGGTGCTCTGTGGAGGATTCGGAATCGAGTCTTTCTCGAGTGCTGATCGTTTCTTGCGTCGGTTGTGTGCAGGGTGTTCGGGTTCGAACGCAACGTGGGGGAAAATTTTCCGCCTTTTCGTAGTTCGAAGAGTACCTTTAAGTTCATCAGGTTGCATAGCTGTAAGGATAAGACGAATCAGTGGAGTTTTGTTTTTCGTTTGCTTGTAGATATGCAACCCGGAGGGCCTCGAAGCTTCACCCGAACTCCTCATACAGTATAGGCGGAAAATATTTCCTATGTTGCGTTTAAATGCAAACACCCTGTACGTGAACAGCATGCAGGCAGGGTCGGATTAAGGGGTTGGGGCTGTTGCCCCAGGCCCCACTTTTCCAAGAGGAACCCTATACGAATTTAAAGCATGTATTTTCGTAAAGTAGTAGATGTTACAAGTTAAAGCTAGCTAAGCTCGCATCACCAGCGCTCGATTGCGTGACTCCTCCAGGATACTTGCACCACCATGTGAAATGTATTGGGAGGGGGGGGGAGGGACAGAATCCACTTGCTCCGGCCTCTCGACCTCTTGATCTGGCACTGCATGCAGGCAATGTTTTGCAACTTACGTTTCCTAAATGCCAATTCTAACTAAACGTGAGAACTCCCGTGCAGAGTAATTCAACAACTTTCACGCACTACTTTCACCAAATATAAGTGATTTTAGAAAAAGTGGAGTTACTATATTGTGAAAACTCCTATGCGCATGACCGAATCGATGGAACCCTCGTAGGAGAGAGCATCCGAGACGAGAAAGCGACCTCGCGTAAAACTTGCCAGGAATCCCGGCATGGGATCGAAGCGGAAGACCTCCTGCTCGCAGCACGGGAACCTCCCCGCGGGCGCGTGCGACCCGTGATCCACCGGCGGGTACTCGGGCATCTCCGGATGGTAGCTGCACCACCCCATCTGCTGCGCCGGGAAGGCGCACCCGCACCGCGTGCACTCGAGGAAGTGCACCGCCCCCCAGAGGAACCAATAGACCAGCCTCCACGAGTGGACGCTCGCCTTCAGGTGCTTCACGAACGCGTTGATCTCCCAGTGCGGGTCCCGCCCGTGCTCGTACCGCGCCTC